CTATCTGCCGATCAGTCGAAACCACATTCCCAAGGTAGCAGAAGCGGGAGGTGGTTTCCAATGCGTCATCATCAATGCTGATTTGCGGAAATATTGCAGAACGCACCCCGCGTGAAAGCTGGAGGAAACAGACCATTTCGCTTGTGCTGATGGTGAGCCCGAATTTGGCCGCTGTTGAAGCCAGAGCACTAGTCATGTGCTGCAACTCATCTGCGCAGTGCGCAAAGAACGCACAGTCGTCAGCAAGCGGCAGCATACGGATAGTTGTATCACAGACTAAAGTTCTCGCACCGAAACGACGGATGTTCAGCAACCCACCATCAATACGGTGCTCCACACGAACACCGTAAGCACAAGCGACATCAAAAGCACAAGACATCATTGCATGAAGATATATATTAAACAGGGCAGGAGCTAAGACACAGCCTTGCTTCACACCAGAGATAACGAGCTTGTCACCGGTCCTTGCGGCGGGGTTCGTATCGGCGTAGGGGTGGGTGTCCTCGCAGTATACCCAGCCCGCGTGTGACTGATGGTGGTTGCACGTAGCGAAACGAAGCAACGGCGTACAACTAACATTATTATTATTATTATTAACTGCAAAGACATCCGAGGTCTGTCCATTCAGATGTACCCACGCAAGCATACCACGGTGCAGTTATTCAATTAAACTTACAAAATTACTCTGACAACCAAATTTACCCAACACCAGCCACAATACCTCGCAGTTCACCGTATCAAATGTCTTGGTGAAATCAAAGAAAAGCGGGTCCAAAAACTGGTGTCGCTCTCTACATTTTTCATACAACTGACATGCAACAGCATATATATGGTGCTGCGACCCGAACGGAATCCACATTGTTCTTCCACCACGTTCGGTACTACAACCTGACTGACGAGGTGGTTAAACAGGATTCGGACAAACACATTGCCGACACAACTCAGTAAGCTGATACCACGGTAATTCGTGCAACATTGCTTGCTACCTTTGCCCTTGTACAGTGGTACCACAATAGCATCCTTCAGCTCAGCGGCTACCTCATCAATCCACACGCGCTGCACCAAGTGGGGAAGCGCAGTCACCAACGCGGGTCCGCCGTGTTTCAATACTTCAGGCGGCATCCCGGTCGGCACCAGCAAACTTGCCGTTTCGCAGCTGAGCAAGTGCTCACTGCGTCTCATCCAGTGTCAACGCGTCCGCCAGACTCGTCTTCACATCCTGCAGCCTAAGACCCCTCAAAGGAGGACAGTCGATCTCCGAACGGTTGTTCAAGAGATAGTGTTTTGCCAGATCTGCATTATGACTGCAGTCTGTGTGAAGGTAGTGCCTGAATTACCATCGATTAGTGTCTTCAACGGCTCCAAATTCGGTCCATACACCGCCTTCAAGTACTTTATCATATCCTTGTGTTGGCACCTTTCGGTGTAGCATTCCATCTACCTCGCCTTCTCCGTCCACCATGCTTTTTTAATTCAAAGGAGCTCTGGGGTCAGTCACCGTCAAAATCTGCCAAACTTTCTCTTCTTCCCCAAGTCACTGGGGTCTGCCACAAGAACAACAAATGCTGAATTCTCCTCGACACCATTGCGCCAATCGTCGCATCGTTCTCATCAAACCAATAAGGCCGCTTGCAGTTTGCGTGCCCGATGGTCTCCTCTGCAGCAGCTGTCACGTGGTCGCGAAAACGGTGCCACAGGTCGCCCACTATGGCTATGTATTTCACATCACACAGGTGTACAGCCATTAACTTCACCAGTTCAATAGGTTTCAAGACAGTACCGAAGGAGAGAATGTCACATTTACGTTGATTCACGGCAGGAGTGCACTCGTGCTCTACGCCAATCAATTAATGAGCTTAAAACCCGTAGATCTGTTGTCTCCCATAGCTAGGTTTTACGGAAAGTGGGCCATCAACCACTTCCTAACCTCAGAAGAGGATGGACTAAGATACTGGCAGGGCGCCCACACCTGACAGGAGAACGACTCTGATCTTCAGCCAAAGCATTCGATAAAATGTACACCCGAAAGGTAGCGGGTCTAGCACATGGTCAGTTCACTGACTCAAGCGACTGGTGTCCTGGATCGTAGCTAGAAGAAGGGCGTAACCCAAATCCCACCCAGAGGTCGCAACGATGCGTCCAGGACATGAACCCACAGCACAACATTAACAGCAGTGTGTCGACGATCAGTAAGGTGTTCGCCACCAAAAGCTTCAGCGCAGCGCTGCCTCTCTCACATGGTTGGTTGGCGGCATCGGGTTTCGGATTTGCCTGTCACTGTGGCCAGCCACAGGACGCCTGCGCCTACAGAGGGACCATGGGTGCCTTGCGCTGCACCACCCACAGCTCAAACCACACACCCCATATCCAGTGTAAACCCGAAGGAATAAGACCGGGAGGCATGTGGATGGGAGCCACGTTTCATCAACAGAGCCGGCCCACACTCCTTCACAGGCAAACACAAGCACGCTGTAGTTGGGGAATCAACCACACACAAGGCGGTGGCTAGACCGTAGTCCGCTCCACACTGAGTGCATGGAACCACTCTTCGAGCCTAGCACGACCACAAGGACCGTGCACCCCGTCCCATCCAGCAACGACCAACTGTCTCCTGGAGCCAGATGGACGAGATAGTAGGTAATAGACAGGTAGGCACCTTGTCAACATGCACATCAAGCGCAGCCGCACCGGGGATGTCAAACAACAGCCAATCATTCGAAATGCCGATATCGAATAAACTAAACGCATATGACGACATAAATACTCGCTAAATGAGCATATGGAAGAAAGTGGTTAAATGTGAATACGCGATGAGTACAAAATGTCCGAAAGTTATTTAAAAAATACCACGCGATAAAAATAACGCAAATGTACTACAATTTGCATGAGCGACGTGTGTTAGTTGGCAGAAGATTATCAAGTACGCAGAACAAACGAAATAAAATGGGATGAATTTTATCCACATTAAAAAACCTGGTTTAAGTGTAAGTTGGTTTAGCCCAACTGCGATCAAGAAGCTTCACGAATGCGACATCAGGCTCAGCATGGGGCACTATATATATATATATATATATATATATATATATATATATATATATATATATATATATATATATATATATATATATATATATATATATATATATATATATATATATATATATATATATATATATATATATATATATATATATATATATATATATATATATATATATATATATATATATATATATATATATATATATATAAGCCTCATGGCGTGCGGCTGCGCTTAGTTTCTGGTTTACTAAGAACAAGTGAATAGACAGTGTGTAAGAACAGCATGATGTCAGTCCAATAAGTAGAAGTAGTTTGGATTGCAACTCGCTTCCGACACTCTGCATCGGCACAGTGCACGGTTCCCGGTGTGTTCGTGTAGGTAACAATACTGTGTCTGGATTAGGCTACGAGGTGAACAGTCCACTACACGGCACAAGAATAGGTTTGGAAAATGGAATCAGATTGCACGCTGCTGCTAATCGGCCATTAGAACGCACGCCCATAATGAGTCAACATCACATGCAAGACACCTAATAGGCAGTGTCGCAAAACAAGGAACAATGAAGAACTTCTAGACAAGTTTGACAGAACAGGTAACGGAACAACGCAGTTACAGTTGGAAGCAAGAACCACCTTAACAACCGATGACCATCAGTAATAAATCAATACCACGACCTGGTGCAACATCTGGCAGTGGCGAAAGGTAAAATATAAACAAGGTCCACACAAAGGAGAACGCACTGTTGACGTAGTCGCGAGAAGCGATGTCGAAAGAGTGGCTGTTAGGTTAAGAGCAGATCACAACGGAATCAACACTATATTTCAATTTCAGGATGAACTCACTTTCTGCGATAGCTTGCCTTCCAATGGCAATCGCTATCCGATTTCTCTATCGTTCCAAAGACGCATGTCAAAACGCGACCAGTGAACTCACAAGGGTGTGAACCATACCATACACAATGACAGACAATCGATGTTCTGACTCGAGATGACGTGTCAAACTGTTCGGCGTGCCCTTCCCACGAAACTCAGCGGAGCATGAAACCAATGTTACCACAAGAGAGTAAAGATCGATCATGGCGGGAGATCGAAGTTACTCGAAACACTGGTAGGCCAGACTGGCTGTGTACGTGGACATGTGCTTGCAGAGCTTGGCAATCGTGTTGGAAAAGCAGCAATATTACATCACCAGGGTGTAGCGTAGTGACTCAGTCAGTGAGCAGTTTGGTTTTGTGAAGTCACTAACCGAAAGGGCATGGAAACCAAACTGGGTGCACAACGTCACATCCAACGCATGGCACCAATGAAGAAATAACGACAATCCGCATATATATATATATATATATATATATATATATATATATATATATCGATGCGCCTCTAGCTTAGAGGTCGAATGTGAGATCAGACTGCTGTAGTTGAGTAAAGCCGCGGGACCAGATGATCTCCATCCAACCCTCATCAAATTCGGTGACGCTGCTTTTGTAGATGATCTACACGAGTTACTAAACAGTGGGAGCAGGAAACCGTCCCGATCGGTTAGACGCACTCCGTAATAGTCCCAATTTGCAAGGGAGGCTCACAATCGGAATTCTGCAATCATAGAGGAATCTGTTTGATCTCCATCGCCTACAAATTATTTGCCTCTGTCAGCCTTCACAGACTGGCTGGCAGTCGTAAAAGACAGATGCGTAAAGAGCAAGTCAGGTTTCGTTAAGGTCGAGGCTGCATCGACCACAACTTCACGTTACGTCAATTGTTGGAGCACCGACACATATATTGACGGCCCACCGTTTTCGTGTTTTTCGATATAAAATTGCCTTCGATTGGTGGATCGATGTGCTCTTTGTGACTGCCTGCTAAGGAAATGTGTTCCCGGGAAGTATGTGAATATTTTCTGAGCATTATACGAGCCTAGCTCAGGCAGAGTGAGGGCTTACAACAAGCTGTCGTAGCCCTTGAATATCTCTAGCGGTGTGAGACAAGGATGCTCGCTGTCACCTATCCGCTTCAACCTCGCCATTTACGGAGTCGAAGAGATCGCGTTCACAGGACACGACTTAGAAGGTGTGGAGCTATTCCCAGGAGAACGACTTCTTGACTTAGTGTATGCTGATGATATTGCACTAAGCTGTGACATCACACAGATTAGCACTGTCAGCCACCTCGAGATTTGCTTTGCACCCTCGAAGTGCAAAGCTTTCCCCCAAGATTGACAGTTATCACCTCCTGCGCTGACCCTTGGTGAGGATTAGCTAGAAGTAGTTCAGAAATGCAACTACCTGGGAAGTTGTATCAGCGACCTTAGGATTGAAGACGAGATCACGAATCGTATAGCAAAAGCTCGAGGTGCTTTTGCTGATCTTCGCCACCAAAGGCGGTGGCGCGACATCACTCTCGCCGTAAAGGGTAGAGTGTACAGTGCAGCCGTCCGTTCAACTCTCCTTTACGGTTGTGAAACTTGGCCCCTTAGATAAGCGGACATAAAGAGGCTAGTTACATTCGACCACCGGTGCTTTCGCAAGTCGGCTCACATCTGGTGGGAACACCGTGTGCGCAACGAGCGTGTTCGACGCCTTATTTTTGGCACATGAAGAGGAAGTGAACCTCAGCAGCACTGTTATTTCGCGCAAAAGATTCCGATGGCTGGGCCACACGTTGCGCATGCCAGCACACCGACTCCTGCGACGTGCGTTATTTGCGCGCCGGGGGTGTGAATGGTAGAAGAAAGGTAGCTAAGCGATGACTGGGTGAAGAGCAATGAAGGCCCTTACTTCGACCTCGGCTTCGGTTGGAGCCTCAGCTAACTTGTTGGGGTCCGAAAGACGATGAACACGTTTCGCTGGATAGAGTTGCTGACATAGCTAGGAGCAGACCTAAGTGGCGTTCGTGTTAGAAGTTTCTTTGTCTCTCACTATCCCTCTTAGCGTCACCCTCCAACTGCGATCTCAGTTTTTTAAGTATAATACAAAGTTTGTAGGACAAGTTTTTGATGCATAGTAGCCGGATGTTAGCTTTCCGGAACGATGACCATCCGTTACTGGTAGCTCAGCTGGCTTGCACCTGTAGTTGTTTTTTCTTTCTTTCTTTTCTTTTGTACTGCGGGACATTAGCTGAGGTGTTTTCCACCTGCAGGTAAGGTATATAATGAATGAATGATTGAGTAACCTCTAAGGTCTGACGAAACTCGGGCTTGCAAAGTTCATTCTGCATGGGACTTAAAGGAAAGAAAATAGCAGCTCCGAGTGGTTCCCAGTCACATGAAAGGTTGCAGTGTTACAATGGAGGACATCCGGCAAAAGCTAGAGATCTCTTCCAGGGAAAATATCAAAAGCTACAGAAAAATTGGTGTAAAAAACCCAGCGTTTACAAATTCGGTAAAAAATAAAACGAAGGTACGCTGGGACAAGAAAATACATCAGGAATCAAACAATGCTCGTTGAGTTTGGAGCGACAATAATCAAGTTGCCTGCTTACGACATCAACCCAAACAAAAGCAGTCACCGCCACTCAACGCTTGTCCTCATGTGTAATGAGGCAAGAGGAAGCAAATGTGCTAGTATACGCAGTACATCGCAATGCAGTTGGAGCGCGTTATATGCCACTTCCAAGTGTCCCTAGATGGTCAATGAGCGAGCCGCAAGCAAATCGTTGGGCCTACTGACGCAAACAGATACGAGAACGAAAGGTCAACAATTAAGTAACGTAAGACTGCATATACGCGGTGACTCATTGTGTCGCGCTCGTTTGTTGTAAAATAGTGACAGCTACAATATAGTGGTATGGACGTTATTCTTCAAGTCTTACACGTGACTGAATGATCGCATGCAATTCAAAGTAAATGCGTGCAGTAAGAATCAGCTCTGTACCGTAGTGAGTGTGATGTAGTTTGAGGAGAAACGGAAGGTAGGCTAAGGGTTAATAAATCGATGTTAAAAAGAATTACCGTTCATTACTAATCAGTAGACGGATTAGGGTATGATTCCATTTGGTTCATCGCAACTACATTACAAGCCGTACAGGTGAGCTACCAATCCGGGAAATCACCAGCCTACCGTTTCGTCCCACTGGGACTTGTCAATGGTGAGTATCATCTTGAGCCCCTGTTAGGGACCGAACCCATGACCGCTAGTGGCTTGCACCACTAGCCAGCAGTATACGCCACTGAGTCATGGGGAACGATAGCCGATCATCAAGGATTGCAACCTAACTGCGATATAGCCCGACCACATCCTCCACTGCTATGTAGGTTTCTGCCCGTGTAGAGGACAGTGGTTGGCCGTCCGGGTCAGCACTTCCCTTGCCAGGGTCGTGAATGCACACAGCATTTTGAAGACTGGTAGAGCTTAGTTTTTGATTACTAATAAGTAGAGGGATTTGGGAAGGCGCACCACTGACGAGTCCCAATAGGACGAAAGGATCGTCTGGTGCTTTTCTGGATTGGTGGCGTACCTGTGCAACTTGTAATCTAGTTGCGATGAACCAAATAGAATTATCGTTGAGTTTTGGAGTACCTGCTCCCGTGGCAACCGCATCACACCAAAATATAATGGTTTAACAATGAAGGCGTCAGCAGTGCACTAGGCTCCCCTCCCAACTCAGAGTATCTCTGCCTGAAGAGTCCAAACAAGGACGAAACCAGTCGTAGAGCGCAGTACTGAGAGCGAGTAAAATCAAAAGGCATTAGTTCATTGACGATATGGAACGTCGTCAGCCTAGGGAACTTAATAAGAGCATCGAAAATGACAGATAATGAAGACAAAAAGAATGCTGAACGGTGCTGCAGTGAGATGACCGACTTCGAATACTGCAAGGATGTGGGATAAATACTTTCAAGCTTTCGATACTACATTGGCAATAGATAGAAGAACGCCAAGAAGGAAGTTCAATGGAGAACTCAAATGGCACACTACCAGAGTGGCTGATGGCCTACCTCTCCAACACTTGGATAATCCGTTTGATCAGCCGTATGCCAGCCGTAATAGCTCAAGGATGAATTGAATCTGTCGGCTTGATATGTCAGCTGACATGTAGTTGGAGGAGGACGAATCAAGCCAGCGATTCGACCATCACCTGCCAGATGAAAACCACCGTCGGAAGCGAACAGGACAATCTTACGAGCGCTAGAACGCCATTTGATGAACTCTCCACAGCGAGCGACCTGAAGCAGAGCGTCCAATCCACCTTCGGGACTGTCCAGATTACCTGAGGGCTAGATGAAGATACAGAGGGATGTGAAGCAGTTGCACAGTATAAAACACGGTGAACCATAAAACAAGTGGCTAATGTAACATACACTAGTCGAAATGTATACGGACCTCCACAACTTGACCGCAAACGTTGAATCACCAGTCGGGTGGCAACAACAATGCTGACGTATCGTTCCCTTTCGCTACACATCATCGCACTGATGATGTCACCTCGAGTGGCAACGAACGATTGTAGCCAAATTATCGAGATCAGTGAGCAGGTCATCGAACAAACTAAGATCGCAACAGTTGCCGCCATATCTAACGAAGTAGCTAGAGATCGTAGAAGTAGCTGGATAGTAAATGTAACTAAAATGAACTACACACATATCTGAATAGGTGTGTCCAGAGCATTTGGACTATCGCTGCGAATAAGATCAAATAAGAACGCCACAACGGAGAGATAAATGGAAGATATGTACATAATTCATCATATAAAATGAGCATGCGACATACTGATGGCTACTGTTGGGTCGAAAAGTGAGCGCGGTCGGTAAAAGAAAAGTAAGAGAAAAGAAAACGTTACATTCCATGTACGGAGTAGGTAGAATTTCTGAAGGATAACTATGCAGAGGGTGAGAGGAAGCATTCATGACCTTGAAAAGGGTACTCGGTATGTGCATTCAGCTCAGCTCAGCTCGAAGTGCGGTGGATCCAGTTGACATGACTTGCAACGGCAGGATAACAATAAGTATAACAGTGAAGGGTTAAAGTACACGGAATACAAGTAGCGCATATGAAGGAATTAGGTGAGAAAAAAGAGATAAAGCAATCGGTTTGCGCATCTGACAACCAAATTCAGGGGAGTCACTGACTCTGTGACTGTACCACGCCCGATGGGGTCTCCAACTACTGGTGTGACTCCTCATCCCGAGGCCATCATTCACGAATACGTGCCAGGCTGACTAAATCGATCACTTTCCACAATAATGCCACTTTATCCATTAGCATAGCATGCGGGCCGACGTAGGTGAAGAACAAGCAGGAAGAGGGTATGACCCAGTTAACGTCGAATCAGCAATTGACAATGAAATCAGCAACAGAATCCCTAGGTGAACAGCCGCATCTTGAAGTGTTATCAACCTCAGAAGCAAGGTATGGTAGTCAATTGAAGATATCAGGAAATACAAAAGGAGAATGGCAAAATCAATGAGTGAGTATGATGCGTCGCAAGGATAAAAGTTCAACAAAGATGTGATGAAAGCATTCAACTTTGCAGGGTATGGAAAGATAAGCATGCAGTTACAAACGAATTTCAGAAGCGTGTCATCATCATCATACTATATGTCAGCTAAGGATGAGAAACTCCTCTGATTTATGCCCTAAGAGAAAGCAAACAGGTGATTGTAACAAAACAAAAAACAAGCAATATTCTGGCGTATTTATCATGCATCAGAACGCGGTCATGAATGGAGTGGAAAACGAAACAGGAAACGAGGCAAAGAAACTCAAAACACAAACACCACTGAGATCTGCTCCTCGCCACGTCAATAAGAGTATTCAACGAATTATCGACCTAGATAGAAGTAATGTCCTCTAAAACCTTGAACAAGTCACTGGCAGGCATCACTTTTTCTATCCAGATTGCGGTTGCACAAACAACGCATTTTGCGGGAGCCGGGATATTGGAATAAGTGACATATGGACCATCCATCTGAATCTGGCATGTGCAATAAGGATTCAGAGCGGTTCATGTGCTATAGCCAAGGCATTTAACAAGCTGATAGCTCCCACGGTGATTTTACCACAAGTACGGTCTCTTTTCAGGTTAGCATGCAAATTGCCCTGAGATCTTTATGAGTTTTGTTGTGTTCCCTTCCAGTTGGAATGTGCCAGCAAGCATCGAGAAATCCAAGCGAATGCGCAGGGATCCATCGTTTAGAACAAAGATCGGATTTTCCACATGAAGACACACTGCTAATAACGCCTGACGAATAGGTGACCAGCGAGGTTTAACTGTGTTCGGTGTGCGCTTACTCAGCTCAGATGCAAGTTGATATGCAGTCAACCTGCAGGTATATCGGAATGCTGTCGGAAAACAGTGCTCGTAAGAAATGGACGAGCAGATCCATATAAATGTTGCAACCGCCCACCAGTATCATTACAGGAATCAACACTATGTTGGCCGCCATAAAATGGACCTCATCAATCGATGATCTGGCAACTTGAGCATCCAGGTTACCAGCCAGAACAGCAGTGTCTGCACTTCCCGGTGACGATGGGGCTCGTTAGGTTGACGATAGCAGCCATCTTTCAACGAGTTATCGCTGCAGTTTATGGGGGCGTAGATAGCAATGAAAATAGCCTTTTTTGCCCCTACGCGATTTGGAAGTATTCAATTGTTCAACCTGCCAAACAGAGTACATCCAGCTACCGATTAGAATCTAACCAATCAGAACAGCTTCAGCCTGGGAGATCAGCGCAATACCCACACTGACTTGACCGGCTTTTCAAGCTGTTATCTTTGGATAGGCCCAATGAGAAAGTGTCGCCAAGGTCAATTGTAGAAGATGGCAGGTTGAGCACAGGGCTCGAGTCCGGTGAGCAGGTTTCATACAAACGGTAAATATGGAACGATAAAGTCCCTAATGTTGGAGCAGGTGCCAATTAGGACTAATTAATACGCACGTCGAGGTATACCAATATTAGCGGAGACCGAAGACTCCAAATGAAAACGGGTGAGATATTTCCATATCAGTTCAACATGGGCTTCGCGACGACGCCGAAGCAACGCTCTGCGATTGCGTGTTAGTCGAAACTAGAAGACAAATACCAATAGAAGAACGATGGAGAGGGCGAAAAATTCGACGCTGAAGAGAGACGGAACAAAAGTAGTGTTGGAAAGGGACGATAGAGATGAAAAGACTCAACATGAAGTATAAGAAGGGGTGAAGACCTAGGCAGTTGCATCCTCAATACTAACCACCCCGCCCGATACAGCAGATAAGGCGCTGTTGATTATCCTTTGGGATCGCCATAACATCGAGAATTTGTTTGAGGGAATTGTTATTGTATGATGTCAGGTTGCCAAGGCCTAGACAACGGAATAATTGGGTCCTCAACCAGTCTTTGGTTCGACGGTGGGTTAAAAATGTTCCTTTTAGAGAATAAAGAGTGAACCTCGCTCTTGTTCCCAATTTGGAAGACCAGAAGACCGGCGTCTAACCATTGACCAGTTTAGCATGGATGGTTTTTAGGTTGGAAAAAGCATCATCTAATAACTCAGTGGAGTAGTGAGACACGCAAGCTGTCGCACCACGTTACGATCCGGTCTTATAATCTGTGAAGTAGGAAAAGACAGTACCGAAACACTCAATGGTAGACGATCGATGCATGATTTAGTCACACACACGGTCATGTGCGTTACATGGCAGCATGTAAAAGGGAGAATATTGCGTCACAACATTCAGAAACATCAAGGACAAGCAAACGGGGCGATGGGTATCTCATAAGCTTGTCCAATCCTCAGTACAGCACCGAGGGGGCCCTAGCACGACACCGATGAGGTAGTTTCATCCAATAGATGTGGGTGGTATAGCGAGGTTCCTCGGAGTTTAATGAGAAGAGAAAAGGCCACGATCCACCCTAGCAAATTATCAAAACAGTTCGGATTATGATTGGCGGCATCCAATTCCGGATTTGCCTGTCACTGCGGCCTTCACGGGGACGTCGGCACATAGCCTACAGGTAACGAGCTTGTCCCGTAATCTTGGGGCGGGGGTTCGAGTCTGCGTAGGAGCAGGGCGATCCTCGAAGTATCCTTAGCGCACGAGCGACCGGTGGTGGTTGCGCGGCAGCGAAGCGTCGGTGTTACGTACCGGCGTACTGCTGATGCCTGCCACGGGGACAGCCACGGGACGCCTGCACCTATAGAGGGGCCATGGATATAGATGCCTCATTGTCGCACATATAACTGAAGTAGAAACGAGTTGTAACAGTCACTCGCTAATCCACACATTTCCGCGGGGGATGTTCTCAAACACCAAAAAGTGGGCAGTAATGGGGCGTCCGAAGCAATTGAGCAGGGAAAAAGTAGAAACCAAATGTAAATGCTATGGAATGTATGCTATACGGTAAGATGCACAGTACAGAGTAATGAAGTCCCCGGCTGAACTGATAGACATCGTCAGTAGGATTGTTTATTAAAAACCGCGGGATAAGTAGGGTTCGGGTAGTCAACAGCAAATATCCAGCTGATTAACCAGTTACAATCCCAGTGATGGTGAATTGACCAAGGTTCCGTACAATGCGAATTGCAGTCCACGTTGAGATTGCACGTCGCAATTTACTCACACAACCAGTGCTTTAAGATGACCCTCAAATTAGCAGTGAAAGACTTTTGGTAACATAGATGCACATGTAATGGGGGCTCCGTTTTAAGCACTGATGTTATTCTGGTTGGTTCCAAGATGCCGATGAAGATGCACGTAGCTTGGAATTGATAAAATCGACATACTTCGACAAGAATGATGGGAGATAGAAGATGCAGACCATCATCTATACTTAAGCTCATTTTTGTCCCATGCCATTGTCAATCTGGCCTCCCTCTGCTCTATGCAATGCCAACCCAACCAGGGACAAAACAGAACCCCGAAGCTTGCTAGACCGAAGTATAATAGGAACAGAACAGGGCTAATCTGATAGGTCATATGCTCTTACTTCGCCGGTCTGTCACTGAGGTGAATCACATCAATTGCTTGGACAGATTCAACCCTGGTGGCCGCCTTCACTGTCTGGCAGTAGTTACGAACAAGTCCGTACCATAGCAACCCATACGGCGATGGTGAACTGGCTCCGTCAACTGCTCTGGATGGCGCGGCAACCTGTGTCATGAATCGCGAACTGAGTGAGTCATCTTCCCGCGTCATCTACTGTCCCGAAAACATGTCGCGGCGTTCATCCCGTGTCGCCACCTATTACAGGCAAACATCAGTGTAAGCAAGCGAAACTGTAGGATCTCAGTTGATAAAGGTCAGTGATAAGCTGAGATCAGAATTGAATTTGCCCACTTTCGTGGTACCAGGCTGCTCACCAGGGTTTATACCGGAGCCGTACCAAAGCAGTTTTAGCCTCCTTAAACATGTCAGAGCTGTTATTTTTATCTCGAAAGAGAATTTAAGTAACCGGAGTAACCTGGTTCGAATAAGAGGCCTGATACATTGATGGAAGTAGTACGTCAGCACAATGAGGCTGTTTGAAAACGAAGCCATTCGACTGTGGAGACAAGACGGAAGTGGAACGATTAATTACACTTTGTTAGCTGGCGGCCATCAGTGCCGACGGGATAGACAATGCAAGTGAGTCACAATGTTAAGTCTAGACAGACAACCACATTGAATACTGGTCAAGCAAGGATGTACCACCTCGATGTCATCACCCGCGTGTGACTGCCTATATCTAACTGTGACTGATGTAGGCGAAATCGAAGGTGCAGAATGCGATTATCATGGTAGACCAAGGGTAAAAATTGGTTAACTAAACAAAATACCTGTGAGCATCTTTCGCACACGCGTGATTGACAATTCTGTCTTCTCAACACCCTGAACCATTCCCGGTCGATGTGTCAGGCACGACGTCCAGACCCAAAACGTGCGGTTAAAACACCCAGCGGGAGGTGTGGTAACACGGCAATACCTTGCTTCATAGATGAAGTAGAACTTGAACTAACGATCGTTCGCATCACAACAGAAGCAGGTAGGTTATTTGAATAAAATCAGGCATAATGTGTTCGCGAAACCACCTGCATGGTAGTGACCGAATAACAGAGGAAGAAATAGTTTGAGCAAAGTATCGCTATTGGTAGTGGACTGGGTATAGAGAACAGATGGGAGGTCGCTGGCCGCCTGATTCGCTCTGTAGAGTCCCCGGGTTCATGTTAAATGACTGCACAGCACCTTTACTCGTTCTATTCAGCTCGCCCATTCTTCCGACATGGTTATGTGAGGTGTAATAATAGAAGAACATACGGAGTACTGTGTTCGGTTTTGGAAGCCGCATCATCGAAAGTATGTTGCTTGCACAGAGAAGGCAAAAAGACGATCCGAGAGGGTGAATGAAGAACATATGACGACTGAGTAAAGGATCGCAGCTCGAGAGTAGTCATCATCATCGTCAATACAAGTTAGCTGAGGGTGAGAAACACACATCGGCTATTGTGCCGCAATACAATAAGACAATATACTAAACATTACAGAATACAATAACTAAAAAAGTAAGATAATACTATGTATCAAAGTATGGACGGGTGAGATCGTCGTTGGAGGGGGAAGCGAAGCGAGAGAAGGAGGGACAAAAAACTCACAACACAAGTGCCATTGAGGTAGGCTTTTTGACATGTTAACTAGTGCATCCAATTAAATGTGTTCATCGTCCTTCGGCCAACTGCGCGACAGTCGCGATGCACCAACCGACACCAACTTTAAAGTGATGGACTTCAATCCAATTGATCAAGTCATCGCTCAGCTTCGCCTCCTCATCTTCCATCCACACCCCCGACACGGGAGTCGGTGTGCTAGTATGCGCAACACGTGGCCTAGCCATCGAAGCCTGGCGCGTGATATAATGGTGCTGAGCGGTTCACCCACTCATCCTGTACCAAATACGCGACGCGCACCAAATACACAAGGCGGTCGAGAGCAAACAACATGGAGATGGGTAAGATTATGAATGCCCTCAATGACATAAAGTCTACCGATCTCCTTCCGATTGCCACATCGGAGGACCTGCGGTGATAACGTCGAAGGCCCAAGAAGCAAAGGTACAAATTTGATACCACGGCGAAATTTTTTTGCAAACCGTCAAGAACGCAGCTTGGACAAACTTCACTACTTAGTAGAATGCGATATATCCTAGAGGCCATCAAAAGAAGTCAGGACCGAAATCAGTCTAGCATGTTCCGCGAATTATCGCAAGACCAGTGGCAACTGTTATTATCGGTGCGCAGTAGGTGAGCGACATTTGACGTGCTTTCAGGAAATCAACAGACTATTGCTGGTGTTTTACATGCAGAAACAAGAAAGAAAATTCGAACACCAAGGCGCCGGGGAACTCGGCTTGCACACCGACATACAAAACGGGATGCTTGTTGAACGAAAGCTTATACCATTTTTGGGAGCTAACATGACCTAATTTGACCAGGTGATTTGCACAGTGAAAGACAAAAAGTAGCAATGTATACTAAAGTTGAAGTGACCGACGGAGTAAGGGTAGCACCTTGAAGATTGACTGGAATGTGGCAGGAAAAGACTGCTGACTGATAGCAACTAACTTTAAAAAGAGATTTTGTTCTAGGGTTTTTAAATCCAACCTGAGATCAAATAGTCTGGCTCAAAACGTAGTGCGGGTTGCACAATGTCATCAAACGTAAGAGCTTCTAGAGAACGCAGACAAGCCAGCAAAAGCTACTGGATTCTGGACTATACGATCCGGTGCAGCACTCTGATTGAGATCTGAAGATAGTACCGAAAATAAGATGCATGCAGGTAACCGACGGAAAACCAACTTGCCCTGGTAACTTTTGTTTTCTTTTGAAATTCCTCGTAGTTGTCGGTCAACGGTAGGATATGTTTGTACAAAAACGGAGGATCGCATTGCAAGACCTTTGAACCGACATTGAGGCAAGGATTACGCAAATATTCCGGAGTGGGGACCACAAACGGGAAAACCGGCTTATCGACAAAGGCACCGAATCCCATGTGCAGCTTCTTAGTTACATTCCGCATCGTAAGTACTATATCATTGGTCAATTGTGACACGGTCTCTAGATCATCGCTCATAGTGTAGCTGAGATCGATGAGAAAGTACAAATCCACTGGATAGTCGGAGATGGATTGGAAGGTGAAGTTGACCACCAGCGCCTCGTTAGGTCGAACTCTGACGTGCTGTGACCGTGGAGTCAACTGGATATCCTCAGATACAGGGGGAAGTGCGTCTCCATCATCCGCTGAGTAGAATAAGAGAAAAAGTCAGAATGTGGTGATTCAGAGAACTTGGAAAAATGAAAACCGTCAAAATACACCGGGCAAAATCCTATGCTGACAAAGGGTAGTAAGGAAATTATTGAATAAAGCCAATCCAAACAGCCCTCTCGAATGCTGAATAAGCAGACAGTGTCAGGCCAACAAGTAAAGGTTAAGGAATTTAATTCCATCGATTTCGTCGCAGTGCTTGAACCTACGATGAAGCCGTATGACATTGCGCCCAAAACGTACATAAAAGCAGACACAGGATGATTCAAGCATTAAGTCATAAAGGTGTATTCAATACGCTCGGCTCGGTGAAAAAGGTGCCGGTAATCCTGTGAACAGACAGCAATAGCGTTGCGCATGGGGGCAGTCAAGATGGGATTTATCGCTGTATGGCAAAAACGAAGGAATGAAAAACATACCAGGAAACCAGAAGCTAATGTCTAACGGCCGATAAACAAGGACTAAATAATCAGCTTGTAAGACAAAACCAAACGCACTCTGTAAACACTGGAACGATTGGGTATAACACAAAATTAGTGTACAAGATGGAAGCGAAAGTTCACTGCTACCGCGGGACTAAAATCACTTTAAAATAGGTGTCTGGAACCCCGAGTGATACACTTGGCCCAAATGCCGTTCAAGCAATTTATAAACCCAAACCCAGTTAGAGGTCACAGCGCTTAAGCTGTCGATGGAAGTAGATTAGGGTCCGGGAGTTGCTGCGACTCTGGCTAGTCCCTTATGATTTTCTCGGATGCTCAATTTGTACCGGGAATTGAGTGCCTCAAGGCAGGAAAAATGGCGGTGTAGTTAAGCCACGTCGACTACAGCGATGAATAACTTCTCGCATGCAGGAAAACAGAAAAGACGCCAAGACCGACCGGCGGTCGAGTGGTTAAGGTGCTTGACAAATAGTCTACGGGTCGCCAGCTCGAGACTGCGTATGTAAGGCAACCTCACAGCATCCGTAATCAACACGCCACCGCCGGGAGACGTAGGCCGGCCTGCCGATGACGCTTTACACGAAAGCAAAAGGCACCTTCGAGAATACGGTTGAAGGAAACGTTTCTGTTATGCATATATATATATATATATATATATATATATATATATATATATATGTGCGGGAGAGCCCATGGTGCGCTGAAGCTTGTGGTGGTGTGAACCTTACTAATCGTCGACACGCTGCTGTTAATGTTGTGCTGTGGGTTCATGTCATGTACGCCTCGTGGCGACCGCTGGGTGGGAATAAGGTTTCGCTCTTTTCCTGGCTACGATCCAGAACACCAGTCGCTTGAGTCAGTGAACTGACCATGTGCTAGACCCGCTACATTTCGGGTGTCCATTTTATCGAATGCTTTGGCTGAAGACCAGAGTCGTTCTCCTGTCAGGTGTGGGCGCCCTGCCAGTATCCTAGTCCATCCTCTTCTGAGGTTAGGAAGTGGTCGTTGGCCCATTTTCCGTAAAACCTAGCTATGGGAGACAACAGATCTACGGGTTTTAAGCTCATTAATTGATTGGCGTAGAGCACGAGTGCACTCCTGCCGTGAATCAGCTTAAATGTGACATTCTCTCCTTCGGTACTGTGGTGAAACCTATTGAGTTGGTGAAGTTAATGGCTGCACACTTGTGTGATGCGGACTGCATAGCCATAGTGGGCGACCTGTGGCACCGTTTTCGCGACCACGTGACAGCTGCTGCAGAGGAGGCACCGTCGGGCGCGCAAACTGCAAGCGGCCTTATTGGTTTGATGAGAACGATGCGACGATTGGCGCAATGGTGTCAGAGAATTCAGCATTTGCTGCTCTTGTGGCAGACCCCAGTGACTTGGGAAAGAAGAGTCTGTTTCGCACACTACGACGGCGACTGACCAGAGAGCTCCGTCATATTAAAAATACATGGTGAACGGAGAAGGCGAGACAGATGGAATGCTATGCCGAACGCCGCCAACACAAGGATATCTTTGAGTCACGTGAATTCCGTTCGGGCCGAGACACTATCGATATGGTGTTTGCGGCTTGTCAGTTGCAGGAAAAGAGCAGAGGTTGACACCAGCCACTGTATTCGCTTTCTGCTGATTTCACCAAGGCATTTGATACGGTGAACCGCGAGGCATTGTGGCTGATGTTGGGTAAGTTTGGTTATCCGAATAAGTTTGTAAGTTTAGTTCCATGTCTACACAGTGGTATGCGAGCAATGGGTGCAGCTGAATAGAGATCTCGGATGATTTGACAGTTGTCTCTGGTGTGAAGCAAGGCTGTGTCTTAGTTCCTCCCCTGATTAATATATATCTTCATGAAACGACATCTTGTGCTTTTGATGCCGCTCGTGCTTACAGTGTTCGTGTGGAACACTGTATTGCAGGTGGGTTGCTGAACATCCGTCGTCTCGGTATGAGAACTAGTCTGTGAAACAAATATCCGTAGGTTGCTGTTCGCTGAAGACTGTGCATTGTTCACACGTAGCGCGGATGAGTTGCAGCAGATGAATATTGCTTTCGCCTTGACAGAGGCCAAATTCGGGATCACAATCAAAACAAGCAAAACTGTCTTTCAGCTTTCACCGGAAGTACAATCTACAATATTCCCGCGAATCAGCCTTGTTGTTGACGTCTTGAGAACGACCTCTCGCTTCTGCTACCTTGAGAGTATGGTTTCGACTGACCAGCAGATACGCAGTGAGCTTCGTATTCGTGTACCGAAGGAAGCGGTGGCATTCGGGAAGCTAGAGTACAGAGTGTGGAACAACCATCAGCTTACCGTTGACACGAAGCTGATGCTGTACAAATCCATGACGCTGTCTGTTCTTCTATACGGCAGTAAAACGTGGTCGATGTACCGACGGGATGTGCAATATCTAGAGCGGGTACATAAACAGTATCTGCGACGGATTCTGCGCATCAGATGGGGCGACAAAGTTGCGGTCACGGACGTGCTGCGTCGAGGTGGAAGGTATGCAGTGGACTGAATACTTTTTCTAAGACAAGTGAGATGGATTTGTCATGTAAGCCGTATGGATTCGATGCGGAAACCGAAACAATTATTATATGGTCCGCTGAGTATTGGGAAGCGACATGTATGGAAACCGAAGCTTGGTTACCAGGACCTGATCAAAGTGAGCCTCTCACGTTCTAACCTTGATTGTACGTACTGGGAATTGAAGGTGCTTGGCGCAATTTGATCACGAAAAGGAAAAGTCAGCCATGAGCGAGGCCACACGGGACCACCACCGAAGCGACGATAGGTCCCGCAGAGAATGTGGGCAGAACCGCCGCAGCGTTTGTAGGTACGCTGCATTCGATTTACCAACCGACTGCTTGCAGGCTAAGTCTCTTTATTGCAGGTAGTGGGTTTGCAATTTTGTCCTAATGCTTTCTTTTTTCATAATAATATCTACCGACACTAAATTCTATAAAAATAGTAGGCAATCTCGATAACATTTTCGAGTCGGTTGCATTTCATTAAAACATAATTTCGAACTTCGTGAACCTATCACGGATTCGTACGTAACCAGTTTATATTATAAGCCCATTTAGTGAAGAGTTATGACACCGCAACGGTATGCATTACAGAATTATTTTATTTCATATTGTCGTACCAAGTGATTGGCTGTCGCTTGATATATCCGGTGTGGTTGCACTTCATGTGCATGTGGACAAGATGTCTACATGTCCATCACCCACTAGCACATCCATACTCGCTCTAGGAGACAGTTGGTCGTTGCTATATGGGACAGGGTGCACGGTCCTAGTAGTCGTGATAGGCTCCAAGAGTGGTTCCATGCACTCAGTGTGAAGTGGACTGCGGTCCAGCCACCGTCTTGCGTGCGATTGGTTCGCAATAGAGAGTGCTTGTGTTTTACTGTGAAGGAGTGCGGGACGGCTCCGTTGATGAAACGTGGTTCCCATCCGCATGCCTCCCGGTCTTATTCCTTCGGGTTTACACTGGATATGAGGTGTGTGGATGGAGCTGTGGGTGGTGCAGCGCAAGCCATCAACGGTAGCTCTGTAGGCGCAGGTGTCCTGTGGCTGGCCACAGTGACAGGCAAATTCGAAACCGGATGCCGCCAACCATTTATATGTATATATATATATATATATATATATATATATATATATATATATATATATATATATATATATATATGGCTGGCGGCATCCGGTTTCGGATTTGCCTGTCACTGTGGTCAGCCACAGGACGCCTGCGCCTACAGAGGGACCATGGATGGCTTGCGCTGCACCACCCACCTCTCCATGCACACACCCCATATCCAGTGTAAACCCGAAGGAATAAGACCGGGAGGCAGGTGGATGGGAGCCACGTTTCATCAACGGAGCCGGCCCACACTCCTTCACAGGCAAACACAAGCACGCTGTATTTGGGGAATTAACCGCACACAAGGCGGTGGCTGGACCGTAGTCCGCTCCATACTGAGTGCATGGAACCACTCTGCGAGCCTAACACGGCCACAAGGACCGTGCACCCCGTCCCCTCCAGCAGCGACCAACTGTCTCCTGGAGCCAGTATGAACGAGGTAGCGGGTAATAGGCAGGTAGACACCTTGTCAACATGCACATCAAGCGCAGCCACACCGGGGATATCAAACAACAGCCAATCACTTGAAATGACATTAACAAATAAAATATATATGTTAAAGAATAGGGCTATTCAGATATAACTCTTCCCTAAATTATCATATGAAGTAACTTGGTTAGCAACGGATCTTTCATAAGTGCAAAGTGCCCAGAAGTTAGTTAAAAATGCTACAAACGCAATAAAGTTAACGAAAATAACTACAATTAGCCTAAGTAACGTGGCCAGTTAATAGACTAGTCAGGTAGGCAGAACTAACTAAATAGAGTGGCATAAAATGTATCCAGTTTAAAAGACCTAGTTGAAGTGAAAGTCGGTTTAGCCCAACTGCGGTGAAGAAGCATCATTAATGCAACATCAGCCTCAGTATAGGGCATAAACGAAAAAGAACGAAAAAGTAGTAAAAATACCATGGTCAGAAACAGTGAAAAGTGTTAGACTGCACCAAAACAAATCGCAATGCAACCATACATGAAATTGTAACTCACAAGGTAGTATCAGCGATGTAACGTTTTCTATTTTTGACTCATGACAACCACGTTCGAGCAGAATGTGAGGAGGAGCACATCGGTACCCGGGCCCTTCTTTTGTATCATCAAACACATCATCAAAACACCAAGAACAGCGTGGATGTGTACCGATGCACTCGCCGCAATCCTTCGCGCGCGCACAAATCGGCTCGTTATTCAATGTCTGGGCCCAGATATTAATAAAGAAAGTTAGAAGCAAACACTGGAAAAGCACCACTCCAGTCATTGCGAAAGGCCGGTTCTTGAATGTAGCGGCTGAAATGAAACATACTGCTGAGGTTATCCTCATCACCAAAAACAAACGCAGCACACTAGCCATTTGAACTAATGCTTCGCTACCGTACAACAACAATGCCTTAAGGAATAAAGACTAATAAGAGAGAGAGAGAATAGGGATCTAGCCTAAAGCCTTAAGCATACATTTGGAGTCAAGGCACCTACAGATCGTTAACAAAATATGCATGACTATGGCACGAAAGCATCGACAAGACAGTTTTTGACGGCTTTCACTTCCAAGCGACATAATCAGCCATTGCACCGGAGCTAATACACCATACACACTTTAAGCAGGCAATCTGACTGCGAGACGACAGCAGATACGCAGCTGGCGCCGGATGCGAACAATGTTCTGTAGAGTCTCGAGCGAAACCTGTCGGTCTCGTTGACTCCAGCCCGGGAGGAGAGGGACAAACACACAGTTTAGCCGTCAATGACACCATTTCCCGCTGTGAAGTAAAACATTACCGTAGTGCTCAGGTTGAGAGTGGGAATCGCAAGCAGAGCAAGGTGATAAGACAACCAGGGATAAAATATTTTCCCAGAAGTGCTCCAGTTTATTGTGCTTTTTATCCCCTACCCATCACCTTTCTTTCCAAGCTAATCAGAAAGAGCCTATCACGGAATTCAAAACTAATGCTAACCACGCACTTAAATCGTTCTATGCACTGAGGGTAAAGCATCACATTGATTCTTTCAGGGCCCACATGTTCTGTCAGACCAGTCAACATCCAGTGATGGCCATCATTCTTCATTCTAATCGAGCGATGTGCGTTGTGTCCCCGGAAAGCGCATATTGACCAGAAGAGTCGTGCTGAGCTTGCTGCCTCAGAAACTGTTGGCAATGAGGAAATTACAGGTGTCGCTGGCGAACACATATATGCGATTTCGGTACATCGCGAAGGGTGATTACTGGAGGTAGCCCATTCGAATATATACTAATAAATAGCCGCGTGTGAATGTTAGCCGACTCTTACTAAACGGAAAACACCAGGCACCATTCGAAGACACGATGCCATGTAATGGTCTCGGTGTATGGGCAATCGACCGCGGATTGGGAGCTTCTGGTTCTTATCCGTAAAGCGGATGCGGACAACATTAGCGTCCGGTGAGATAATTACTCGAGCAGGTAGGTCATTAGAGATCGGACAACGTCTTCAAGGCCGTTTTAGGTCATTACTTGCCGGGGTCTTCAATCAGGCGACGCACAGTTTTGGTCTAGCAGTGCTTTCCAAACGTGGTCGCGAGTCTAAATAGACCATATTGTCAGCAGCTACAGACGGAACAAATCGGCTCAAAATCGATTGTCGAGCAGGAGCAAACATGACTCTCATTTCCCTTACCCAGGTCTACTGTCAGACTTGGCTTCGTGAACTTATAGAAGGCAAATCAGCAATACCAACAGGAACTGACTCGTTAGCTGTCACAAAAAGACGAAAAAAGATCGAGAGCTTCAAAATGTCCTGAAAAAGTTTCCGAAACCATGAGAATTAAGATATCTGTACTATGGATAGGGTGCTTGGGCAATGGTTAGACTGATTAAAGGGTGAGAGTAAGGCCGGTTGAGCCTTAAATGTCACAATGCCCACAATATACTAAAGCTGCATTTAGACAGAGGTCTTCGGATTGGACGGGAGCGTTATTCGTTGGTAGAGATGGAGGACACCGCTAGTGAGGACAGCAGGGTATTGTTTCAAAGCACTAGGGGCAATGGTCCGAGAGAGTTGAGAAATCTAAGCAGTTGATGCATTAGCAGACAGATCAATTGGATGGCTGAGCAGAATGAATTAGCAGGTCACCCGAGAAGCCATCAATTTCTGAGGCATGAGACTTCGATATCACGCCTCTAGTTGTGAAAGTGATTCAAAGTAAAGCTTTACAAATAAAAGTGGTCTGACGACCCCAGTTTTCAACTGACGATGGAAATCAATCGTCCGTCGCTGACAGTATATTGGCCAATTCGTCGTAATACCGCAGAACTGGGGGCTACTGGTTCAAGGTATGAGTGAGCAGTTCAGAAGTTAGGCGCTCCTTTGAAGCGAGAAGAGTGAGCGTCATGAGTCAGAATCTAAACACGTACTCCGAATCGACTGAGTCTTGAACTGTGTGCTATCGGTAGCCGATGACAAGAAGATTTAGGTTCAGGTCGGTAAGGAACTCGTTAGGCGCCAGGTGATATGAGGTAAACGTTTGTGCAAGATAGCAAGACCACGAATATAAAGACTGTGATCTGCACATAAATGGATAAAGCAATATTCATTGTCTATTCGGCGTGTGTCAACACTAAGGAATGCCCCCCAAGAGGTTGTTAGTAATCCAATAGGCGGCCCATTTGGGCATTCATGTCACCAGTATCATCATCATTAAAAGTTAGCTAAAGGTGAGAAACACTTCATTGTACCGCAATACAAAAGTATAAAACATAAAAGTGTGATGCAAAGCATTACGAAATACAAAACAGGCAGTAAAATGCATTATGCTTCGGGAATGTAATGGAATTGAGAAGGAATACGAAGAGTGAGAAGAATATGAGTCCAGAGATTAACATTTATGCAGTAAGCAGGTAGGCTGAAATGAAATGTTGAAGATTTATGATAAAGGAGTGATAAACGAGAAGTCGACATATCGTTTTCTTCGATCTAATAGTGAACTAAGGAAAAAGTAGATTTTAAGCCACGCAATTAAGCAGATTATATGCTCGTGTTCGATGTTGTTGGTCAAAAAGGTGTGAAAGATTAGGTGGACAAAAGGTATCAGTTTGGAGCACCAGAGTGTCCGTTGTTGTGTGCGCAACAGCGTTGTTTTGGAAGCCTATGGCAGGGGGAAAAGAAGGGTCAATAAACAGACCCAGTACTGGTGATGCCAGGTTGCGAAGTGACACAGTATCTACTTTCCCATCCGGGAATCGAAAATGGGAATACTGGAGATTACAATCCAATGGTACGACCACATCTACTAAAGGTTCGTATTTTGAGGCTCACACATTACGACGCAGCAACACTGGTCTTGGCAGACTCAGGTAACTCAGTAGTGAGATTCTTGAAGTTGATTTACAATTATAGGAGAAAAGCCTGTCATGCAGAGTGTAAACCGTGGCGGTGCAGAGTTGAATGCAAAGTGTAATACAGTGCGCTTTCCCACTGGGTAATAACGATGCCATTGGATTTACAGATGACCACAATGATGCGTTCCACCTGCCCATTACCCTGAACATTGTACAGTGTTGTCCGGCTGGTTTAGGATTTACACGCACACACGCATATATATATATATATATATATATATATATATATATATATATATATATATATATATATATATATATATATATATATATATATATATATATATATATATATATATATATTCAACACGACTAGTATACAGTTGGCAGGGTGCCACATGGGTAAGAACAACATGAGAGAAAAATGGGTAGTCAGTGGAAGGCTGATTTTGGAAATAAGCAACGTCATGAAACGAACAACGAACCCCGATCAGAATGAACATAAAGTGGCATCCCGAAGACTGAAAATAGTTGGCTTAGACAACTAACCGAAGTTGATGCTGTCATATCGCTGCATGGGAAGGCAAACGGTGAACAGGTACTTCTTGTTTGTCGTCGACGGCAAAGGACCCTTGAAATCCATGTTTAACCTTTAGAAAGGGTGCGTCGCCTTGATGAGCGTTCCGGACGACTTGTAAAAAACGGGGATTAATCTCAGCGCGAATGCTGCAGCAGGCAGCAATCCCAACTTCTCAACTGAAAAAGGCGGATTCCATAAACGAACCAGAGGAAACATTCTAGTGACTTCGGGATGGTACAGGGAATCAGGTAATTCCTGGAGCGCTATGGTGTGTGATTGTGATGAGTTAGGTATGCGCCATAAAGCATCTGCAGTCACGTTAACGCTTCAGTTGTGGTAAACCAAATCATAACATGAGACTTCGACGAACCAATGCTGTATTTTATTATTTTTGATCATGCCCTTTTGATTACGATTAAGCGTAAATTAGACAGGTCGTGGATCAATAATAATAGTGAAATAGTAATGACATTATTTGCGGACGGACTCAGCGATAGCGTGCGCCGCCTTCTCGAGAGGAGAATGGCGTCGTATACTGGCGGACAGCGTTGGTGAGAAAAAAAGCAAATAGTTGTCCATTCTGTGTTAGTGTGGCGACAATAGCAGCATAAGATGTATTCGTTTCAATGAATAAGGGTGTGGAGTCATTAAGAGAGACGACTGCAGTTGCTATTTCTTCGTTGTTTTCGAACAGCCCCAGAATCAAATTGGGTAAGGATAAGCAACGACTGTCGATTAGCGAGCGAATTTTGTCGAAGAAAGGTAAGATACATTGGGAAGAATATGTGGAAAGTCCCACAACACGTTGGTGTGATTTAAAATCAGTGGATACGGGCAGGTATCTCGGAAGAAGAGATCGACCTGGGTCTGTTGGACAAACTCTTGCGAAATTTCGCACTCCACTGGTCGTATATTTCGCGAATATAAGATGTTTTCGCCAACTTTGAATGTTGGGTTTTGCTTTCGAGCGACTTCGTAAAATTTCACACGACGGCATTTGTGCCCTTCCAAAGTTGCGCCGCACAGTCATGTTATCACTGTAGGCGAATGTCACCTTGTAACGCCCGTCAGCTATCACTTTACCGATGACCTCCTAATAACAGGCAAAGTCGTTGGTTAAACAGAAAGGTTTAAGACGGAACTGGAAGAGATTTCCGCATGCTTCAAATGCAGTGAGCTTCCTTCAGTTTGTCTTAATATAAATCTGATGATATGCACTCTTTAGGTCTAAAGTGCCGTACACCGAGTAACGGGAAATTTTGTCAATAAGCGTCAATTCTAGGCAGGGGATACGCATCCAGAAGAGTGAACTGGTTGATTATTTGGCTGTGATCTACAAAGATACGTTGTTTATGTCTCGTTCGTAGCTACTAAAACGGAGTTCGGCACGGAGATACCCCGATATTTCGATAATTCCGTCCTTAAGAATCTTCTATATTTACATACAAGTGAACCTCTC